GCTTCATCAGCATGCTTCGGACAAACAAAAGAGGTGCGATTACAGGTCAGCATTTGCAGTGAGGAGAAGAAATCTTATCAACAGATACGCTATCCCACTTATTAACATCACGAAATAAGGGTTCCGCATAAGGTGCTACGACAAGCATTGGACGAATCTTCAGCTCTTTTAGTGATGCTCAGCTGCTAATGATTATGCTGGTGAAATGGAGCAAAACTTACTGAATAAGTCAAATCTGAAATGTCAGTCAATTTCGATGATTTCTTATCTTTTCGGGTGGCTGAGTCGGACCCTTCAGTATCTCCAACGTTCCGGATCTGGTGCCTGTGTTTCAACTTCAGCAGAAAATGACCCAAGTCTGGAGCAAAATCTATCGAGACGCCTGCCGCAGGTCGTTCTTGGCTTTTAACGGGGTCTTCCGTTGGTCGGCTGGACAAGTAGCAGCTGCTTAGTCTTCCTTTCTGGAGGCATTCACAACACGTGTCCAGACCATCGCAAGTGTGACTTCTAAGTCTGAAGGAGCTGTGGCTGTACACCAAGGCTCTCCCGGTTTTCTGTTCTCTGGACCATCTCAAGATGCATAAGGCCAGCGACTGTTTTCAGAAAACACATTTCAGCCGCTTGTACCCGGAATCGAAGTTTCTGTCGTGGCCCACGACTCATGACCATTGGTGAGCATGAGGATGAAGATTGATTTGAGCACCGAGACCTTAGCCTTCAGAATCACCTCTGCTTCAGTTACAACGGTTCAGACTAGGTAGCAGAACGCCACTGGCTACTCTTCGCTGGTCGATTTCTTCCAAAAATTTTCCATCACCAATAATCACGACCCGAGGAACATGAACTTCTCGACCTGCTCCAGTGCAATTCACAGTGGGCAAGAGAACGTGGATGCACTAGTGTAAGACCAGAATCAAAAGCATATATTTTAATTTATGGTTTACGCCGTGTGCTGCTTGTTAGTCAGCTGTCAAGCGCGTCCTCCGCAAGATGAGGCGCCGTTCTTTGATGCGGAGTGGAAACGATCGGGAAAACGGTGGCTGTGCCCGAAGTCACTGAGGCTGTCAGCTGGCCAAGCCTCACAGAGCCGTCACGCGGAGCCCTGCTTATGATTCTAAGAGGACGAGTCAACTCTATCAAATACTTGACTTGTCGCGAACAACTTCCACTGAGTTTCTCTTGTTCTATCACATTGTCTTGTTGTAAGCCGCCATCCCGAGCTGTCGGATGGTGCTTTGGCTTTGCTACATGGCGCCTGTGCGATAAGTAGTGTACATCCACAGATGCCTACATTGAATATCAAGAAATCTGACCTCAAGCTGATTGATCAACATCAGCAAAGATAAGGTCATTATCGCCTGATGATATTAAACGGATATGGCAAGTTTGGGATGACGTCATTTGTACACCTGAGCTGTACTAGAGCCGTACTACCTCGACCTGTAAAAAGTTCACACCCTGACCAGGGAGAAGTTCGCCTGGAAAACGGGTGGCAAATTCATTGGTGTGGGAACCAGGATTCCTGACGCAGGTCAGGAGTGACACTGTTGCGGTCGCCACGAACAGTGGAAGCCTTGGTTTCCGTCGACTACACGACCAGGTGCATGTTTGCTGTCTTGCGAACAAAGCACGTGAAACTGAGCTTGGTTGTCTTGTACGTTCCTACCAATGTCGTGGACGATCAGAGGAAGAATGAGTTCTACGCAAGTTTACACACTTTTCTCGGTTCTCCGCGGTGTCATCAATTATCGATCGTCGCCGATGATATCAGTGCCTTGTTCGGGGGGGGGCGTAATTCCAACTGGTATCATGTGATGGAGGAACATAGCTACGGGACGCTGAATGATAATGATGGACGGCTTTTAGACATTTGTTTCAGTCATACAGATTCCGCGATACGCTGTTTCCCCACCAACAGATCTATCAGCTAACATGGACAGCGCCAGGTGACTGCTTCAGGAGCCAGCTGGACCACATGTTGGTTAGCAGGAAGTAGCAAAGCGTCCTTCACGACACCGAACACCACGCGGAGCTGACACTGGCTCTGACCATCTCATTGTGATCGCAGAGCTCTGCTTCAAATTGGCTATGCCCCTGATAACAGCATGGAACGATTCGACACCTGCCAGTTAAAAGATCCAGAAATTTGCACAGCGTTCCAAAGCGAGAGCAGATTTGCTGCCTTAAGGAGCTTGACCTGCCGGGACTACGAATTGCTATACCAACAGCCCAAACAGGGTATCGTCGGTCCGCAGCAAATATAACTGGCATAAGCGAAAAAATGAAGCATCTATGGGTCTCGGCAGAAACCCTCAGTTTTCACCAAAGAAGAAACGCGACGAAAAAGCAGTTTTTACAAAACCCTAAAAGACGAAGATACGAGAGAATTGGTATCTCGTGAAAGCAGTCAACAGGAGTTATCGCTGTGACAACCGACACTGGATGGAACTATAAGCCCAGAAGCTGGAACAGACGGCTTTGAAGAAGGATCGGAAGACGCTGTACAGACAAGTCAAAATCATCACAATTGGTGGCAAGCATAAGCCTCTAACTTATTTAATCGCAGCAAGCCCAAAGAGCCTCTTCCAGATTCAGAGACCATCGGAAGAGATGGGCTGAGCACTTCGAAGAGCTAAATCGTCCCGCTCCGGTGGATGATCTGGAAATTGAAGTTCTAAGAGTTGGGAAATGGAGTTCTAAGACTGGGAAGAATTGGATATTGAACTGATTTTCCCAGTCTATCGAAGGACGAAATCGTAGATGCCATACGTCTGTGTCGAAGTTCGAAAACCTAGTGCGGAAATTCTGAAGTGCCCTGACGAACCTTACTGAACTGGGTCCATCTGGTTTTAGACAGATCCGATGGAAGTCCAAAATCCCTGAGAATTAAAGGCATGGCATGATCATTCCCATATTCAAACGTGGAAATCGTTTCGAACACGCCAGCTACCGCGGGATCACGCTTCTACATGTACTGAAAAAGGTATTCACGCGAATCCTACTCTGAAGACTGAAGAGCGCAGTTCACCGTTCAATTCGAAAAAAATCAAACGGATTTGACCTGGACTTTCGTTTAAGGATAACATCGTCGTACTAAAGAAGATAACTAATAAGTTTCCAGCTATTTTGTCACGTAGTATTCCTGGACTTTCTGGCAGCCTTAGATTCGGTTCAACATCAGTCCTTGTGGCACATACTTGGACATTATGAAGTACCGCAAAAGATTATTGGTCTGTTTAAAGGACTGTACGAATGTATTAAGGACCTCATCAGAGCAGAATAGTTTTCGGACTGGTATGACATCAGCAGTGGAGTGCGCCAAAGAGAGATGCTTTCATTTCTGTTATTCAACATGGTGGTGAATTTTGTGATTCGGAGGAGTTTCGTCCCCAACAATAGCAAGCGTTTTACTGTCAAACGACTTAACCGAAAGTACACAACAGTACTCATAACAGATCTCGAGTAGTTTATGACACTGTACTGCTGAGCGACTCCATCGATGGCTTAGTGGCACTAACTGAGAAGTCAGCAGGACGTCATCGTCAGTAGGCTTATAAGTTAACATCTAAAACGAAGATCTTGCGAGCACCTGACTCGACTAACGAATCGGGTGGGGTGAAATGAGTATCGAGGAGGTCGAAACTTCAAGTAGCTCAGCCGTGTATTAACAAGGGATGGAAGTTGCAATGCTGAAGTAGAGCGGCGCTTAAGGCTGGGATCTATCATTTATGAACTTTGGACAGGTTTCTGAACTATGGCATGACCAATCAGGCAGCAGCAAAGATTACCACACTGAAGACCACCGTCTTCTCAATTCTGACCCGTTAAACATAAACTGTTTTAAAGCGCCATAAAGGATGTTGGATACTTTTCAGCAGCGCTGCTGCGAAATACTCTGAAAGTGCAGTGGTTCCATTGAATGGCAAATGTGAAGATCTTAGAGGCGACCGTCCTGAGAATGCTATTGCAAGAAATCAAGAACAAGAGTTTTTTGTGGTTTGATATCCGCAGAGAAAATGTAGACATGCAAAACCATTCTCTTCTGGATAAAATAATGGCGCAGGCGTGTTGGAGGATAACGTCGGACCCTAAAGCAGTTGGTAGAGGCGGGCTTGCTTGCGACAGTGACAAACAAAACGTTTGCCGCAGAAACCAATGTCGCATAAATCATTCTGAGAGGCCAAACTGTCAGACATTAACATGGGTACTCTATCCTTGATCCTGATACCCCAGATGACGATGACTCTACAACAGTTTTCCCTTGGAGCGGAAAATGAGATTGATCGTTTGTTCGTAGGAAGTTGAATAACAATGATGAAGGAGAAGGATCTGGCCTTTCATGTTGAGGCCAGTTTTATTATGTTGCACACAGATTTCCAACTGATGTCGTGTATCTCACGTCATTGTTCCGAGGCGGTGCTCTTCTTCGAATAATCGAAAAATCTGCTTTTTCGTAGACTTGCGTAAATTTCTTTGCATTTCAGATAGTCTATCGAACTCTTTTTTTTTCGACAATCATCTTGAAAGCACAGAAAGGAGCTGTTCAACATTCTTAACATTTTATTTCTGACTGATTTTCTGAACTGGCGCCAATTTATGGTGTTGCCAATCTCTGTAGTTCCAATCACTATGACGATAGTTGTGCACTATAGAGTATGGGAGTAAGAAGCAAGATGATCTAAGTTCGAGCCCTGGTCAGGATCTTGCCTTTCCTCTTTCCTGAGTTCATAAATGAGTAGTACTCTGTTGGAAGGAAATAGAAGATTATGTTTGCCAAATCGCTGTAGATTCTGCTTTTAAAATCAGGCTCTCCTGGCTGATGCTGTGGAAATGGATATCGACGCTCCATTGCTAACTTCATTAAAAGAAAGAACACGAGAAATTTTTTAATGGTGCAAGTGTCAGGAGGACCGACATTCCAGCGGTTACAAACCTTCCTTTATTTTCCATTTATTCTCGAAATCAGAAAATATTAGTCTTTACGTGATTAATGTTTAGGCATGACAAAGTTAGGAGAGATTGAAAAAATCAAGAGGGAGATCGAGGGAATGGTTCTAAGGAATGCTCTTAATATCAGGAGAATGTTGGAGTTACTGAGGACCGTGTCAAATATTTCGATGGACATCGATACTTTGAGGAAAACTAGAATCGGCATTGCGGTGAACACCGTCCGTCGAACCTACCCGAACAACAAGCCCATTCATGACCTAGCTCTGACGTGCATTCGCAACTGGAAACGTATCGTGAAACAGGTGGAACGTCGAAAGTCAGATTCGTACAGCGAGGTCGACGCCAAAACGAACCTCGTTGTGCCTGAAAACGACTGCCGTCCGATTGATTCTTCGCTGGGGACGCATCACAGCGGGAGAAAGGACGATGAAAGCGCTTCTACTGGTAAGTCACGCTGCCATCGCTGTAGTTAACTAGTCGCCTTTGGAACTACATAACTTCGCCGATTAATCTGTCAGTCAGTTTTGATGACTGATTATCCTTTCGAATAGACACTGTTTCCAACGTCTTTGATTCTGTGTCAGCGTTTGAGTTTCGGCAGAAGATTACCCGAGTCTGAGACCGAATCCTCGATGCATTTGCTTCATTTTAATTCTGGCATCGCCAGGGACTTAAGTCGGTCGTTGAACACGTAGTAGCTGTTTCGCCTTCCTTCCTGGACCTGAAGACGTTCGCAAGACGTTCCAAAACCATCGCAGCTGTGACTTCTCAATCTGGAGAAGCAGCATCTGTACACAAGGACACTCGATAATTTTCGTACTCTGGCCTATATCCAGGCACATTAGCCCAACCCGTTCCTTTCAGAAGCCCATTTCAGCGGCTTGTACCCGGGAAAGAAGTTTTTAGTCATTCCTCCCACGACTCATAGCCATGGGTGAGCATGGGGGATGAAAATCGGATTCAAGAATGGTAATGGTAATTATATGGTAACTAATTGTAATTCGAAACTCTAAAAGTCTTTTACGGAATTATAGAGCATATAAAATTTACTGTATACAGGCTGTCCAACATTTCGAATCATGTTTCATCGGTTTTCAGAGAATGACATTATGTATACAAACAAATAAAAACAGGTTGTAATGAGGTGCCATTACATCGTTGTAAAGCAGGACATGGGCTATCAAAAAATATTGAAAGAAGGTCTACACCCTGAAGGACGTAACTGAACAACGTCCAACGGACCACAAACGGGTCATTCAGAAGAACGCTTGATAGTGACACCACGTCGCAAGAGGATCCATCAGCTTAGTATATTTGTGAAACAATCTCGGACAAACTTGTGGAACAAGAGATCGAAATAGCTGATGTAGTGGGTTATCCAGCTGAATTGCAAAGAAGAAACGCTTTGGCAGAAGATCCTTAATGAGTTTAAACGGCTTGAAGTATATAGAAGAGTATCTTTCGTGTTAGAGGCATGAAAATGGTGGATGTGTATATCAGTCAAGCTAACAATGTCCTGAAGATCGTACCTATCAGTAATTTATAATTCATCAACAGTGTGGTATATGCGACAGCTCTTGTGATTATGAAGAAACTGCTTCTAGCTGGAAATGAATCCTAGAAGAAAGGAAGAGTAACTGTGGGTAAGAAGAATCAAGAACAACCAATAAGAAGTAAATTGAGAAGAAAACCAGCTGCACCAAGTGACCAGGGGCAGCATAAGGACATCAGCGACGAATATATTGAATAAATTGTTTCGCCCAGACGAAACAGTCACAACTGGATACCCGAAAGTTAAGCAGGTTGTGCGAGGTGCTCAAAAAAGATGAAGAACTAGGCAGTGCCAGGCCCGGATCAGGTGGAAGCGTTCTGAGTTAAATGGCTTATGTTTCCATTCACGAATAGCAGTAACCTGACACAGAGCAGTTGAAGAACGACGACCTTCTTGGTTAAGGGAATGAGTGACGCCTAAGAATAACTGCCAGTAGGGCACATGGCGATATGACTATCTATAGGCCGAATACGTATTTACTAGTGATGGTAAATTCGAGGAAGAGATCGACCGGCGAATTGGAGTAGCTAATGGCATTCTGCATGAACTAGCCCGATCCATTGTGACTAAAGCAGAGCTGAGTCTGAAAACTAAGCTCTCGGTTTTGAAGTCGATCTCTGTTCCCATGCTTATATACCGTCTTAAGTCGTAGACCATGACTGAGATGCTTCGAACCCGGGTAAAAGTTGCTGGAATGGGCTTTCTTAAACGAGTCGCTGGCCTTGTCAGATGCATCTCACATCATTTGATCCTCTAGAGCCACCTCTCGTTTTTCACGAGTAGTGTTTCAGGAATTAGTACTGCATACATGCTATCCCTTAAACGTGAAAATGCTTTCTTACTCCGGAGTATGTGAAATGGCGTTTACCTCTTAAATCTGGAGTTGGGGGAGTTATATGTCATACGTAGAAGGGGAAAGTTTGACAATTGATTAGCCCTGGTGGCTTGACAAACATATCCATTTCTTTCCCGGCAAAAGGTGCTTGAACAGAAAACTAGCACATAAGCATTAGAGAACGTTATAAAAGGTATAAAAGTGGATCACATCCTCTCGGACAACAAATAGCCTTCATATGGAGCGCAGCACAATTCGGTTAACGAAGATGAGAATTATCCTGTAAGGTTTCTTTGTGAGGAAGCTTCTCAAGTTGTCTCCGTCTACCACAAATCGTGTAATTTCGATCAGTTGGAATCCGAGGCGAAACAGCACTGTCTGGTCAGATGCAGCCATTTAAAGATAAGCAATGCGATTGTTTGATACTGTATTTTAATGTTTCGTTGAATATGATTTTTGGATTAATGAGTGTGCTGTTGTTGAAAACCGGTTTCGTATTTGACATAAGAAGCTTATGCTTGTATTTCAGAAAATCTGAAATGGCCGGCTGAGCCGATTCGTGTAAAATCCATCGAGTTGCTGACAGATGCTCTTAGCCATTTGAACGAAGATGGCAGCCCTTCGACGGAAAACTTGGCGGCAATTTCCAGCGACCAAAACAACTGCCGCAATTTGGCGTACGAAATTGAAGACGAAGTTTTCAAGTTGAACGGCTGCACGCCACACAAGAAGTATCGCACCCACATCCGAAATCTGGTGTTGATCTTTAAACAAAGGCGTAATCCCAGCCTCAACCGCGATCTTGTGTGTCACAAGATATCCCCAAAAGCCGTGGCAGCGATGAGTCCTGAGCAGCTGGCACCCGACAGCATGAAGGAACTTCGCTGCACCTTCGAAAGGGAGAGCTTCAGATCTCGATTGATTTCTGAGAATGAAGAATCTAGAAGTACGATGTTCCGGTGCCACAAATGTGGTGAACGTGATACCAGCTATTCGATTTCACATGAACGACTGGAGGGTGACTACGAGCCAACGGAAGTGACTCTGCTAGTTTGCAGCAAGTGTGGAAATAGGTGGAAATCATACTGAGCGGTGATTGTTTGTTTTTTCGATTTACTTGTTGTATTTTTGTTCTTATTTTGTTGAATTGTAGTTCAAAACTACTATTATTATTTATTTTTCTTCATTGTTTGTTAGGCGGCAGTTTTAAGCTGCTCGCCTCGTTTCCTTTCCTTGGACTTGTGGATTTGCTGAACGTGTTTAGAGGCATACAAGTTTATTGCCAGTAGGCATCAGTCGGATAAACTTCTTATGCATTAAAATGATGATTTTATGGTCTTTACCGCTCTTTGATTTATCACTCATTATTCGTTGCTCAGATTCCAATATTTTCTTTGGGTTTATTTGTATAGGGAAAACCGAAGCACTCCAACCTGTTTTAGCGTTTCATCTTGCATTCAAATGTTCTTTCATTAATTAACATGAAATGCATGCCACAGCAGTTTAAGGTGTTGTAAGTATGATTGGCTGCAGAGATAACATGCCTTCTTCATTGGCATTTAAAAAAATACTTAATGCTGCATTTAGACGTTCCAAATTTATCGTTCCGTTTCTCGATCGTATCGTTCCGTTTCTCGATTATGTTTCCGTACTTTGTTCCGCGTATTTTTGTCATGGACAACACATCTTAAGAAACTACTGCACAAGAATACTATTCATTGCTATAGCAGGGACAGTAAAAATATATCAAACTGTATGTACTAATTACGTCATCTATATCTAAGAGGTCTTAAGTACCATAGCGCTGATCGTCGGAGATATCTTCTCCGTATCCTAAGAAACTTGTCATTTTGAAAAGAGTGATTTCATGGTGGTCAGTCGATGCCAGTGGAAGATGAATCCATCAATGAAACGAGAAGCTTCACATCGCAGCCAAACGAAACAGAACTTGTATTAGCTGCCTTGGCATTGTGTGCCATGCGGATTAACTATCTCTTAAAGAAATATAGTTCTATCGGTGAGACGAAACACTAAAGACATTAACGCAGTTGTATAATAATACAAAAACCTTATACATTTGTTCACCAACATGTGCATTGCCAAAATTGTAAAATATACAACTATATCAATGGCAGGATTTATGCATGGAAGGCATTTCAACGCGCTACAGCACGAAGGTTGTTAAATACCTACAATACATCAATGCAACGTTGATACTACCATTATAGTCGGTTGCAAGACTTTCATGCTTCCGCAAGACAAATGTGTAAGTTCATAGTTCATGAAGTATATTAACAGATGCTTAACTCCTATTTATCAAAACGATATATAGTAGTTTCTGAAGCATCACTGATAACGAGCAAGAAGTTCTATGAATGACGCAATGTATCACTGCAGGTACACTAATGCCACTGAGTCATGGCGCGCTTAGGTGAACCCCATGAGTCTACACTCAACAACGAGATCCGGCTTGGTTATGTAACTTGCTTGTTAACAAATTTCTGGTAGGAGAAATGGGGAAATCATAACTTTTTAATAACAGTACTTGTGCTAATGTTTAAACGATATCGGAAAGCAATGTATGGATAACATCAATAAGCAGTTGAACTGAGTGAACATACTGCCTGTAAACATTTGGTTCACACTGAAAACAGCAGCATGAACGAAGTTCTCAATATTTCAACCGCAACCAATACAATGTTCACTACAGGTATACTCACAGGAACGAGCCGACAGATTTTCTTCCAGTGTAAACTTCTTGCTCAGCTCCATGAAAAATCCGTTTATGAGTTTTCGTCTTCAGAACTGCCAGAACTTCCATAGGCACAGAGCAGGTTCAAGCCAGAATTGGGAGCGGAACTAGTAGCCAGATCTTCTGCAAGTTTATTGTTTGTACCCGGCGCATCAGAACTCGAAGACGTAAATACTGAAGAATTTTCAGATCTGTCCTCAGTCGGCTGCTGGCGACAATTTTTCTCGTCAGGATCAGTTGAAGATTTCCTCTTCTTAATCATGGTGCTAATCAGCTGCCGCTGCTTTGATAGTTTGCTCTTCAGCGCTGCACTAGTTGAAGGCTCCGGTTGTTCCTGAAACAAACTTGTCAAATATGCGCGAAAACTAGGACTCAAAAATAGTTTTCAAGATAACCAATGTTCAGTGCAGTGCAGTTACGAATAAGTAATTTGTATGGCAATGTATTGGTGAAGTCGATTAACGCTGCATGGAAATTAGCCTACTTTACGGAGCTTTGAGAGCTACTGAAAGGATAACTGCCGGCAAAACCTGGAGGAAACCGTTATAAGAGTAGAGCGGCTTCACATAAGGCGCTCTCTTGCGAAAATTCATCAGATTTATCGGTTACAACGCTTGATTCCCTAAACCACAGAAGTCTAGACAAGCTGTTCAGGGATGACAGTGTACCGGAAAAAACGTGGATAACTGAATATTATTTACAACAAAATTATTATGATAGAAACCCGCTGCACGATTAGATGGCAATCATTTAAATTCAAACGAATTTCAGTTCCTTCTTGTGTCACGACTATTACTATGCATTCGCTGCAAAAAAACTTAACTCCTGAGAGTGCTCATCTGAGATATTAACTATATGTTGTAATAATACAACAAATATGAAAGACAACAAAAATGTTTAATGACATTAAATGCAAAAAACTGGTCCTTCATAAGACAGACCACTACCAAAATCTGGGTCTGCATTTCCCAACAAACTTCAGGGTAAAGTAGACGTTATTTGACTGCTGCTGGTGCTAGCCCGCAGTGTAACCTGTCCAACCGTAAAACGGACTTTCTGCACAAGAAGTCGTTTCACAGTTTGTTGGCGATAAGTGGGAATTTGCCCGCCCACTGCACGTAGAGTTACTATCTACTGTCACCTCCGCCACTAGACGATCAATCTGAACTTGATGTGTCTTTTTATAAACTTTTCTTGATGATTTTGAACATGCACTCTAACCGTCAAAGGTGCACTTAACGTGACAACAACAAGTCGTTGTTTCCTACCAGATGTTTCCTTTGAACAACATGTCGATCCCCCATCTTCTCCAACTCAACAGATGGGTGCTGTCATTTGAGGAATCATAGTATTGCTTCTCACATGTAAACTGTTCTTCAGTAATACAGCAATTTAAATTCCCAGCGTAGCCTACTCTTGTCATAATTTCCCTTGCGTATCAAACTACTAGATTTATTAACATTTACACATTATATTAGTTCTTTAAAACGTTTCGCTGTACTCTTATAGTAAGAAAAAAAACTGAAAAATTTTTCTAGCATTATTGTGCGTGACCTGGGGCTGCTACCGTTTCAATTCATCCGTTATTCTGCAGTTCATGAAGAAATCAGCGAAATGAATAGGGTCATTATGACTATTAGCCAAGGTCAACTGTTTTATTTCGTAATTTACAAATTACAGAAAATTTAACCTACACTGATAGCGACTTGATTCTCTTTTTTAAATAACATATGTTGATGACATTTTCACTATATGCAAAAAAGAAGAAACAAAAATTTACAGCCCTTTCGCAATAGTCTTTAAGTAAAATACTGAGCTAATTATTGAGAAAAAAAATAATCCAAATTTTCTTTTCCTTGATGTTTTAATAATTCATTCTGATGACTGTTGCGAAACTAACACTACCAAAAATCAAATGTTAATTCCTTATTAATATAAATAATTAGCAGAGCAGATACAAAGTTAACAAAAAACTCTGAAACTGTACAATATAGAATAAATTCTTAAATTTTTAAAAAAATTTCTTAAATTTCTTTAAA